AGGTTAATGTCACAACATACAGTTTTTCTAATCATCCCCTTCTTTAGGGAAGCAAGGGAGAAAAAGTTGAGGTTTCTCAGGAGAAATCAGGTCAGTATTCTGGCTCCCATTTTATAGTTGGAGGGGAAAGACTGAGGAAAGAGGCTTTTCTAAGTCACATACTAAGCAAGGTCCACTGGATCTAGGCCCATGTGCTTCCTGGTATACCATACACATCCTCTCTAGCTGGGAAAAACACCAGGAGTAACAACCTAGCTGTCTAACACTACATGCAAGTTTTTTGTTGTTTTTAAATATTTTTTTTAGTTGTAGATGGACACGATATTTTTATTTTAAAATTTATTTTTATATGGTGCTAAGGATCGAACCCTGTGTGCAAGGCAAGTACTCTACCACTGATCTACAGCCCTAGTCCCGCAAGGTTGGTTTTTATTGTATTTTGCATAAGATAGAATTGTTCCAAGAATTTCAATCAAGTGTTCATCAAAATAAGTACAACTGGGGGTGGGGCTAGTGCTGTGGCTCAGTGGTAGAGCACTTGCCTAGCATGTGTGAGGTACTGGGTTTGATTTTCAGCACCACATAAAAGTAAATAAGATTGTACCAACTAAAACTAAAAATTTTCTTTTAAAGTGCAGCTGTTAATATTTGGGTCAGGGACTGAAATGAATATTTCGTATTAAGAAGAGAAAAATCTTTGTCAACCAAGATGCCTTCTTAGGACTTTTCTGGAAAAAAGTTAATGGGAACTTTTTCATGTCTACATTTTGGTAAGCAATATTGCTAATGGCTATTTTTGCTCTGGGCCTCTTGCTCCATTTTCTAATCTGGAAAGTGCATTTCTGGGCTGGTGTGGAGCATTACCTAGGAGTTGGGTTTCCTGGGTTCCTTTCATCTGTTCTCCTGCAATGCAGGGGGAGCCTAGCCTGGTCTCCAGTTTCTGACTGGAGTTACCACAGGCCAAGAGAACTGCTAACCACTGAGCTGTGAGTAATTTGCTTTTGAGAAGTAAATAGAACCTTGCCAGTAGAAAACCCAGGGGTGTGGCCAGTAGTTCTTTTCCCAGGCTCCTCCCTCCCCACCCCCCAAATGACCTTAACCTTTTTTCATAGCTGGACAGCAGCCAAGTCCAGCCTAAACAATACTCTCAATCTCATTGGTTCTTTTGCCTTTGCAGACACTGCCACCCCCAAGTGGTTAAGGCCTTCCCACCAAGCCTCTCAGTGGAATCAGGGTTTTCTAACTACTGAAAGGCAAACAGGGAAGGGTGAAAAGTGTCCCCAGGGCTTTGAAGCATCAGTGTTTGGCTCCTATGATTAGAGGCAGGGCAGGTTCTTTGACCTAGGGGGGATGGGCATCTTCAAGTGATCCAGCAGAAATCAAAAAGGATGTTTTTGGTAAATGTTCAAGTCCCGATTTATGTCACTGCAGTTGTGAGGATGGATGTAAACGTCACCCAGCATCCTTTGAAACTGCCATTGAACACCCTTTTATCTACAGTGAAAAGAAATAGCATAAAGTTCTGGTAAAGCACCATTGCCAGGAATCAGGCTGGTGTGGTCACTTTTGCCCCACAAGGGCATGGCCTTAGAGCCAATATCCCAAATGAGGGTCGGTTACTCCAATTCCATTCAACAGGGACTGTAGCAAGTTTAGTGTTTGGAAACAGCAATTGGGAGTAGATAGATACATACACTGGGCTGTCCCTCTGCTTGGCCTGGGGCCAAGGTCTTCTCCAGATGTGGAGGCAGGAGCAAGGTAAGACTGGTACAGGATGAGTTGTCAGAATGCTCCTGGAAGGTGAGTGCTCCATGAGAACTATCTATATACCTTCAGTGGGAAAAATTACTCCTCATCATTTGCTTTTTTTTTGGGGGGGGGGTATTTTTATTATTTATTTTTTTAGTGCTGGGGATTGAATATAGGGCCTCACATATGCTAGTCAAACACTCTACCACTGAACCACAACCTGAGTCCTTTTTAATTTTTTGAGACAGGGTCTTCCTAAATTGCCCAGGCTGGCCTCCAATTTATGATCCTCCTGCCTCAGCCACCTTCCTGAGAAGTTGGGATTACAGACATGTACCGCTACACCTGGCTATAACAGCATCTTTATTAAACACTTTATGCCAAGTACCATAAATCCTCTGAGGTAGATATTATCATCCCCAGCAGGGAAAGGACTGTGTCTGTTTTGCTTAGTATTACATCCTTATCCCATCACATGGTGTGTACTCCTATATTGTTGAATAAATCAAACAGGTAAGAGAAGAATTTGGCAGAGGCAGGAGATATTTAGACTTGGTGTGCCCTATATAGAATTCTTAGCATAGCCCATAAAGATGCTGAGCTGTGTGGAACAAAGAGAAGTAAAGAAATAAACCTAGGAAAGACTAACAGCACAGAGTGATAGGATTAACCTTGGAAAGCTCAAACCACCTGAGTTCAAGTCCCATCTTTACCATTCACTGAGTGAATTCAGGTCAGTCACTTCCCCTTTGGTGATCTTAGTTCCCTTGTCCATAAAATATAGATACCAGGTTTAACAAATTGACTCATGCACCAGAACTTAATTGGAGACACAGTCCTGAGCACTGGGAATACATTGGTGAATGAGACCTCTGCTTTTCTATTACATTCATCTAACATTCCAGAAGAGAGAAACAGATAATGAGAAACAAGTAAAATTGACAGACAGGATAGGCAGGTGGTGTTAGGGTGCTATGAAGAAAATGGTGATGAGATAATACAGGGTAGTGGTGGTGGCTGAATAGTCAGAGAAAAACCCCTCTGAGGAGCTGACATTTCCACTGATACCCAAATAAGGTGGACTGACCAAAAGATAGTATGGAGGTAGAATGTTTCAAGCAGAGGAAAAGAGCAGAGAGCCAGGCAAGTTCAAGGAACAGAAATGATGTAACCCTCTTGAATTCTAGGATTCTAGAAATAGAGAGTGCATTGCTTGTATTGTTTGGGATAGAGATTTGTATTATGAAAATGTTTCTTGGTGGTATGGGATATTTGTTTCTTAATGGAAGTGGCTCGGGGATGGCTGTCTCACTTGCTTTCCACAGTTCTGGTAGCTCAGCTGTCTCCTGTGTTGATGCAGGTTCCATTTTAGCTGCATACTCTAAAAGCAGCCTGAAAAGAGCTGCCTCCTTCACCACTCTCATTCAACACACAGTCTTGGAGCCCCAGAACCCCCTCCCATTCCACCTAGCCGCCTTACAATCTGAAGAGCCAGGGAGCCAGGCTTTGAGAGCACAAGATTCAGCTTCCTTGTTTTCCTGTCGGAGCAGGAGCCAGAAAATAAAACAGGAAACAGAGCGGAAGAGGAGGGGGTTGGGCAGCAGAGAAGGTAGGGCAAGAGAAATTGCAGGAAAGTAGAGGTAAAGGTCTGGACAAAGTTCTACCTCTAAAGGGTGACAGTTGAGCTTTTAGAAAACACTCTGACTTGTCACAAGAGAGCCCTTGCCTTTTTACAAATAGATTCTGGAGGAAAATTTTATGTGGACAGAGGGAACACTGAGAATGCATGTCTTTTTTCCCTTGTGAATTCACAGAGCAAGGGCAGTTCATTTCTCAGTTTTGTCCTTTCAAACAAGTGTGCTGCTTGGAGCCTCACTGGGCTTCTAGAGATTCAAGTCACAACCTTGGGCCTCAGTCACAAGAGTGCCCCGAGGCTTTGCCATTTTACTCACAAGCCTCTGGAGTGAGAACAAATGAGTGCCACTGAAAAACCTGGGGGAAGGGCCTTCTAAACTCCATTTTTCCCCTTCTTCACCACACAACCACTGAAATGTGCCCTGGACTTTATCCACCTTACGCACAACAAATATCAGGGGCAGTTTAGGTCTTAGGGCCTGAAATGAGTTGTAAAATAATCAAAAGATAGTCCTTGGTCTCCACAGCACTGATGTGGGCCAGTTTTCTTTGCCTGAAGAGATAGCAACCATCTCTTTGTTCCCACCCACACCAGTGGCTGTTGTAGAAGATAAACCCCTCCCTCAGCCCGGCTGTGGCCAGAGGCTAACCCGGACCCTGGCTACGTTTGGAGGGCAGATAACCGAAACCACAGAAGGCTTTGGAAGCCCAAGAAACAAGAAATCCGCCAACGGAGAAGGATTTATTATCTGTTTCCTTTTAGGAGGGAGCAAAGTTGTTCTAACAGTTTCCGTTACAGGGGAACCAACTGGTCGCCCCTCCCTAACAGACGGTTTATTAGAGTTAGCTTCCTTCTTTTCTTTTTTGGCCCCACTTCCCAGTAGAGAAACGGAGTGAGGGAGGAGAAAGGAGTCCTGGGGGTGCTCTCTGCGGCTTCCTTTACCATGCTCATTGGCCACCTCAGGTGGGGCTTGGGTCTGAAACAGGACAGAGGTCGCTGGAAGGCAGGAGGGGAAAGTCAGGGGGATCCCCCACTTTCTTCACACCCAGGACGCAGGGTGCCGCTGCTAGCCACAGAAACCCCAAGAAGGCTTTTCTTTGACTTTTCAGAGAATGTATATTTTGTGCCAGGTCCCGTGCTGAGTCGTCGTTGCCCGACACCAGGGAAAGCACGGCTCAGGCTTCTGCGAAGAGGTCGTGGGGCAGTCCCCAACTACTAGAGCCTCCGCCCACATCGGGAACTCAAGTGAGCGCTCACGGGGTGGAACAGGGACTAGAGCGCAGACGCTGACACTGCAGCCCCGGCACAATGACTGAAGTCGAGGTTTAGGGGGTGGGGAAGAGGCACAGTGCGAGAGAAAACTCCTCAGGTGTCACACCAAGGTGGGAAGGTGCTACGCCGAGCCGCGCCGGGCTTCGGTCCCCGCCCCGCTCGCCCGGAATCAACATGGCTGCCACGGAGGGAGGCGGAGCCACTCTGAGTCTGGGCAGGAGCGGGGCGGGGCCGCCGTCGGCGAAGCCAGCGCGCAGGCGCGGGCTGCGCAGGCCCCGGATGGAGGTGCTGTAGATCGTCCCGGAGGGGGAGGACCGGACGGGCGGGCGCGGAGGGTTGGGACGCCATCTCCGGAGCCTTGGAGTTCTGGGGGGAGGGAAGCTGTCAAACCGAGGCCGAGAGAAATGAGGCGGAGGCTGCAGAGAACCGTGGAGCCCCGCCTCTCTGCTATGGCGGCCTCCGGCGCCGCCTCTTCCTTTACGGCCTCCCGCCCTCGCCTGCTTCCGGCCCTGTAACCAGTCCCGACTCCGGCTCCCTCGGGAGTGTCCCCGGGGCCGAGGCTCGTTTGGGGTGAGGGTCGACGGCCCGACCCCAGTAGGGCCTGTGTCCAAAAGCAGCAGGCTCCGGACATGGCAAGGCTGGCAAAAGGCGGCTCCTGGCTCGGGACGGCCCGCGAGGCCTTAGGCCTTGAGGATCCTGGTTCTGAGCGACTTTACCCCACCGAGGATGTTAATTCGAGGGCCTCCAGTTAACAGGCTTCCTCAAATTCCCAGATAGGGCCCACCTACCGTAAGCGTACCAGCAAGAGCTCTTATCATTGGAGGAAGTACTGGACTAGGCTTTGGAGACCTGGGTTATGGTCCTGTGTGGGAAAGAGAGTGTACCCTTTGACTGGGGGTGAGGTTTAAAAAGCAGAGAACACGAGACTGTTTTTAAAGTCGTCTCGGTTGCGTCGCGTGGCCTCGGTGAGCCTCAGTTTCCACATCCATAAAATGGCGATGGTAATTATACGGGCCTTACAGTGTCTAATGAGATCTCTGAAGCCTGTTTATCTCACGGGAAAATAAAAGACTAAAACTATTTGATCCGTAAGTGCCCTGCCAGTCAAGAAAGTCAGTGATTTGGCAAGGGCCTTGTTTGTTGGAAAGTGAGATTGGCAAATAGCTGAGAGGGAGAATTGACTGGCTTTCTTTTGCTTGTTGTATCTGTGAACTAATTGTGGGCTACAAATTTCCTGTGGTCGCAGAGGCCAGAGCTTGACTCTGAAAAGAGGAAAGGAAGAATCAAGTCTGGTCAAGAGGCAGAGGTGGGTTAAGTGCTTTTTTGTTTGCAACTTCTCTTCTGCGTGTGGGTGGGAAGCCAAGGATGATAAAGTGAACTCGCCCTGGGATAGAGAGGAGCATCAGTGTGAGGTTGGGTTGTGCCTGTGATTTCTCTCGATTCATCGAGTGAAATGTTGAGGATATTGGGCAGATTCACAAAGTATCGCCGCTCTCTGAGGGTTTCAGAAGCTTACCTTTAAAACTGAATTTTCCTGAGAAAACCGATAGAGTTAGGGGCCCCTCCCTTCCTCCTGGCATGTTGATGGAGTAAGCAGCACGCGCCCCCTTGTGCCAAGAAAAGAGTACTGTTGCTTTCGGCCAACTTGACTCCCTTTCTGGAGAAATTTTATTTTCCTCTGGCTTCTGTGACTTTGTCATATTACTCTTAACGTGAAAGGAGAAATACCTGGAGCAGTGATTTTATATCTCCAGTTAGCGAAATAGTGATACTGTGCCCTGTCCCTACTACTGCTCGTTCAGAATACGGGCTTGTATCTTGCTTGTATACTAGTTCCTGGGAATACAGTTGTGCTATGAAGCCCTGTCCTCACAAACAGCCTAAACAAGCAGTGTCAGAGGGCAGTGAAGCATGGCACGTCTAGTTGGAATTCCAGAAATAATTGAAACTTACAGGTTTGGTAGGTATTTGCCAGCTAAGAGAAAAAAGAGCCTTCTAGTCTTCCTTGTTAAAATATGTCTGCTTCAATATTTTTTTTTCCTTTTAGCTAGACATAGTTATTCATCCCAAATCAACAAACTGTTTCTGATGTTCTTGCCCTCTTTTCTGATTTCCCAGGCTAGTGTTTGAAAGTTCTGAAGGAGCTGTTACTACTTTGCCCAAGAAATTGTAAAAAATGTCTTAAAATGCATTCTGTGCCTCACAAAGGGTTTGAATTATTTATACATTGCTACCATTCCAAAAAAGAGATGGGAAATAACAGTTTTCTTCATCTCTAGTAGTAGACTTTGTCTTCGCCCTAAGTTTGTTTTAGCAATGGGAGCTGGCTGAAGTCCTGCTGAGTAGTGGTTTTCTTTTCCTTCTCCACTTAATTTAACAGACCAGCTGAACACACATCAGAGAGCTAAGCTGGCATGTGTAGTAATTATGGCCTTCTAGTATGGTTCTGTGCCCCACTTTTGGGACTCTGGTTTGGGAGCTAGTTTATTATTCTGGGCAAGAGGGAAAGGTCACACATCAAATAATAGCAACCACAACATAGATGTGTGTAGTACTTCACATGGTAGCCCATTACACCATCATGACAGTTTTGTGACAGACAGAAGAGATAGTCAGATCCCATTTTATACATAAAAGAACTGAGGCTTGGTGAATAAATGAGAACTTGCAAGTAACAGGACTTAAACTCAGATCTTTAGTTCCTACATAGGAACACTGAATAGACTACACACACACAAACCCCTGCCACCAGGACTGGGATTTATACTCAGGACCTTGTACATGGTGGCCAAGTGCTCTACTACTGTGCTACATACATCCCCAGACCTTTTTAAAATTTTATTTCTAGACAAGGTCTTGCTAAATGTCCCAGGGTAACCTCAACTGGTGATCCTCTTGCCTCAGACTCCTGAGCCACTGGGATTACAGGTATTTGACACTGTGCCCAGCTTCAACAAGCTTTTAAAGGTTTTCTATGAGCTTACTTTTACAGCTTCATATTTATCTGTGAGGAAGTTGTCTGACAAAAATACACTGCTTCAGAGTGATACCCAGTGGTCCTATCTGCCTTTAAGATACTCCTCTCTGGGAAGTTAGGTGGTCACATGTGTCATAGTAATGTTAAAGGGGGAGATTCCTATGAAGAATGTTTTAAACATTTGCTTTTGGTCCATGTATGATGTTTTCTTCCTTGGATTTTGGAGTTTAGAAACCCGAGGAAACTCAGTTCTGGTAGCAACACTCCTGGATTCCTGGTGGTGTGGTGGTGAGATTATGTGGCCCCTGGATCCATCACGGAAAGAGGTGCTTAGGTTTGCGGTCAGCTGCCGTGTCCTGACTCTGATGCTGCAGGTCAGTCTCTGATTCTTAGTCCTGATCATGCTGTTGTTACATAACTGGACGATGCACAAAGAATAGACCCCTTCTCTTTTTTTTTTTTTTGATAGAATTTGGGTTCAATCTATCACTTGGATATACTACTTATTTCTCTATATTGCACTGTATCAAGCCCCAATTTCCCTCCCGTTATCTCATTTATACAAATAGTAGTTTCTTTTTTTTTTTTTTTAAGGGGGGGGAGAGAGAGAATTTTTTAATATTTATTTTTTAGTTATTGGCGGACACAACATCTTTGTTTGTATGTGGTCGCGCTACCGCTTGAGCCACATCCCCAGCCGTCGCCGACCCCTTCTCTTTTCTACCTGCCTGTTGTGCCCCTCCACGTGGTTAGAACCATAGAAACCTAGACTTCATAGCTGAAAAGTCAGCAGGAATCTTATAAATTACTCTAATCCCCTTTTACTCATGAAGTAACAGAAGTCCAGAAAGGTTAAATGACTTCCCTAGAATTATAGAGAAGGGCCAGAGTTAGACCTCAGGTTTCCTACCTCTGAAGGTAGTAGTCTGCAATAACCATAATCTTATGATCTTTCTCGACAAAGATACTTTTAGGATTTGAAGCTCAAAGTATTGGACTACCAGAAGACTGAACAGTATATCAGTCAGTTGAGTGGGAGGGAGGTGGCACTGTGTAAGTCCTGAGACCATCTGTGTATATTCATTTGTCAGTAATGGCTCCTTCTCTCCCCTTAGGAGTCTTCCCTTGCTACCTCACCCACATATATGTGTCTTTGCCCCTTTTCAACTCCCATTTCCCCCAAAGCTGCCCTTGATACACATTTTAATCAAATTTTACATATATATTAACTATTCAGTGCCTAGCACAGTGCCTGGTGCCAGTAGGTCCTTAATATTATGTTTATAAATGAGTGAATCATGTTGAATGTTTCAACTCCTTAGAGATGTAACATTAAATAATTATATATGCCTTTTTATTACCAGCACCATTCTCTGTGAGGCTCCTAGCTGGTTCCTTTGTGGAAACCACCTTCCCTTTCTCTTCCTCCATTATATCAGGCATAGCAGGCTCCGTTGTATTCCAGGTTTAGTTAAAGTATCTTCAACTTGGAGGCTAGGGCTATTATCTGTGACTGTCATTCCTGTCCCATTTGTTATACTGTTTGAAGTGACCTGATAAAGAATCTAATCAGAAAGAGAAATGGGTTAAAGATGAGGTTATGTTCCTACTCCCAGGCTGGGGAGACTGACTCAATGATGTCCCTGAACCAGCCTTGGTTGAGTTATTGGCAGAACCAAAGGAACAATACTGCAAATCAGCATCTGGGATAGGGAACCAAGACAACTGCATTCTAATTCAGATGGTGATTTTTGTAAACAGTATGTTTTCTCAAGTTCCTGAAGTTCATTCAACCACCAAAATATTATTAAGTACATATTGTATTTCAAGATCTGTGCTAAGATGTGAGTGTAAAAGTTTTTTTCTTAAATAGCTGACAATCTATTGGGGCAAAAAGACCTTCAGCAATAAATGCTATTTCATTGTTTCTTCCTTTTCCCCCTTATTTCCAGATCTAAAACTCATGCCATCAGATTATATTCCTAGTCACTTCATTGTTGCTATCATCTCTGTCAATGACAGTTACTCCTTGAAAGTTTTAGCTCCTGATTCCCTGTCACTCTCTCTGGCATTACTTCTGTTGATGTCTTTGTGGTTTCAATATTAATGAAGATAATATATCCAGTGCTATGGTCCCTTACTTCATTGTCCTGCTACCTTCTAGTGATCTTGTCCTCACCACTCTCACAGTAATACCCTCTACACCCAACCACTCGCTACCAAATTTCAGTTTTAAGCAGCCTATTCTGTCATCACTATCTCCTATCTTTCCTATTATCCCAACTCTTGTAATACTTCTCCTCTGAGGATTTTTTTTTTTTTTTTGATGGGGGGCAGTACTGGGGATTGAACTCAGGGATACTTGGACACTGAACAACATCTCAGCCCTATTTTGTATTTTATTTAGAGTCACGGTCTCACTGAGTTGCTTAGCGCCTTGCTGTTGCTGAAGCTGGTTTTGAACTCGCAATCCTCCTGCCTCAGCCTCCTGAGCTGCTGGGATTACAGGCGTGCGCCACCATGCCCAGTGAATTAGTCTTTTTTTAATATAAGGTTACTAACTCCAGGGAGTCATCAGTGCCATGTAACAATCTTGGTATATTCCTTCATAAATTTCTGCACATCAGAAACACAAACAAAAAAATCTAATGCTGTTTAAATCAAATCTGAAGGTGGGACCCCAAGCATCAACATTTTTTTTTTTTAAGATAGAGAAAATTTTTTAATATTTATTTTTTAGTTTTCAGCAGACACAACATCTTTATTTGTATGTGGTGCTGAGGATTGAACCCAGCGCGGCATGCATGATGCCAGGCAAGCGTGCTACCACTTGAGCCATATCCCTAGCCCAAGCATCAATATTTTATGGAACTCCCTGGATGATTCCAGTGCTACAGCCTATCTTTGAGAGCCAGGGTCATAGGCAACTTGTCTTCCTTTTTTCTCAAATCTCTAACAACTTCTCCCCATTACTTTCAAATGATAACTTGCCTTCCTGAATGAAAATTCAGAAAAATTGAAGAGACCTTCCACATGTTTCCACCACTTCCATCAGCCTGCCTAAATCTTCACCTTTGTGCCTTCAGTACTGAAGGTTGGATGAATGGTCTATCCTCTTTTTTAGGGCTAGCTCTTCTACCTGTCTAGCAGATTCCATCCCCTATTGTCTGCCTAGCCATTCTTCCCTCTCTTCTACATATTCAATGGTTTTATTTTCACTGGATTATTCCCAATAGCATGCAAATATTTATTTCCAAATCTAAATTCAGCCACCAAAAAATTTTTCTCTTGATCCCACATTGCCATACACCTATTACCCCCTTTCTCTCTTCCCCATCATAGCAAAACACCTTAAAATCGTTGACTATGTTCACTGATTCCAATTTCCCTTTTCCTGGTCTCTATTGAGTTCAGTCGAGACAATTCTCTCTTCAATTCCATTGAAATAGTTCTAGTCAAAATCACCAGTGACCTTCACATTGCTAAACCCAGCTCACCCATATCTGTACCTTCACTACTGAAGGTCAGTTTTCAGTCTCCATCTAATTTTGACCTATCGGTAGTGTTTGAGAGTTATTTAACAGAGCTTTTCACTCTCATTCATTCTTCGTGTTTTTTTTTTTTTTTTTTTGGTACTGGAGATTGAACCCAGGGGTGCTTTACCATGAGCTATATCCCCAGCCATTTTTTGTTTTTTACTTTGAGACAAGATCTTGCTCAGTTGCTTAGGACCTCATTAAGATGTGAGGCTGGGGGCTGGGGCTGTAGCTCAGTGGCAGCGCACTTGCCTAGCATGTGTGAGACACTGGGTTCGATCCTTAGCACCACTTAAAAAAAATGAAACATGTAAAGGCATGCTGTCCATCTACAACTACAAAAAAAAAAAAATTAAAAAAAGATGCTGAGGCTGGCTTCAAACTTGTAGTCCTCCTGCCTCCACCTCCTGAGCCACGGGGATTATAGGCTTATATCACCATCCCTGGCCATCCCCAGTCCTTTTTTTTTAAGTTGTCAAAAAATACTTCTGTACTTGTTCTTCCCCTCTAGGTGATCTCCTTTAGTCTATAAACAACCATACATGCATTTCTGTTGCCAGTTTATCTCTTCAGACCTGATCTCTGTTCTCACCTACAGATTCATATATCTCATAACTGACTGACATTTGTACCACAGAGTCCAACTTAGATATGACTAGTTCAAAACCAAGCTCCTGATTCCCTCCCCGCAAGGTTTTTTATTTAGTGGTAATACTTTTTTTTCATTTATTCAACTGAAATCTTGGTTCTCCTTCACCCCACAGGCCCTCTTCAATGCCATCATCCCAGATCACCATGCAGAAGCCTTTTCTCCTCCCCGCCTAGCTCCCTCAGGCTCTTTGGACCAGCTTGTGGAAGGTCTTCTGGGTGGCCTCTCTCGCTGGGATGCTGAACACTTCTTGTTCATTGCTGAGCATGGATACCTCTATGAGCACAACTTTGCCTTCTTCCCCGGCTTCCCCCTGGTCCTGTTGGTGGGAACTGAACTATTGAGACCCCTAAGGGGGCTCCTGAGCCAGCGGAGTTGCCTGCTTATTTCAGTAGCATCACTCAACTCCTTGCTCTCTGTGCTGGCCACGGTCGCACTTCATGACCTGAGCTGTGTGGTTTTGCGCTGTCCCCGCCAGGCCTTTTATGCAGCATTGCTCTTCTGCCTCAGCCCTGCCAATGTTTTCCTGGTAGCTGGTTACTCGGAAGCTTTGTTTGCCTTCCTGACATTCAGCGCCATGGGGCAGCTAGAGCGGGGACGAAGCTGGACTAGTGGGCTCCTCTTTGCTCTTGCTACTGGAGTGCGCTCCAATGGACTGGTCAGTGTTGGCTTCCTCCTGCATAATCAATGCCGAGGCTTTTTCTCTTCTCCTGTGGTGCTGAACCCCCTGAAACAACTCTTGAAGCTGATGGCTTCTGGGTGCCTGTCAGTTCTCACACTCAGCCTTCCCTTTGCCCTCTTTCAGTATTATGCCTACACCCAGTTCTGTCTGCCAGGCTCAGCCCATTCCATTCCTGAACCCTTGGTGCAGTTAGCTGTGGACAAGGGCTACCGGATTGCAGAGGGAAATAAGCCACCGTGGTGCTCCTGGAAACTTCCTCTAATATATAACTATATCCAGGATGTATACTGGAATGTTGGCTTTCTGAGATACTATGAACTTAGGCAGGTACCCAATTTTCTACTGGCTGCACCAGTGGCTTTATTAGTTGCCTGGGCAACTTGGACATATGTGACCACCCACCCTTGGCTCTGCCTCACACTTGGGCTTCAAAGGAACAAGAACAATAAGGCCCTAGAGAAGCCTGATCCTGGCTTCCTCAGTCCACGGGTGTTTGTGTACCTGGTTCATGCTACAGTGCTGCTGCTGTTTGGAGGTCTGTGCATGCATGTTCAGGTGAGGTGGATTCCTATCTGGGATGAGGATGTGAATACAGGCAAAACCCCAAGGACAGGAGAAACAAGTCCCATTTCAGTGACCAGTACTTAATTTATTCAGATAACCACTATTTGAGAGTTTTGTTTGTACAAGAAAGACCCTGGGTCAGACCTCTGAGGATGAAACATGAGTACAATAAAATTGCTGCCTTAGTGACTCCCATGGTACAAACAGGGAGACAGATAAAATTATAGTACAGTGGGATGGAAGTGGGCTTGCTGTTTTGAGATTTAAAAAAAAAACAAAAAAAAACAGATAAATTATTGTGGAACCAAAAAAAAGAAGTCGCTAACTCACCAAAGGAGTTGAGAAAGATATCATATTTGAGCAGGGTCCTCAAGAGCAAGAAGGAATTTTTTTTTTTACATAAGAAGCAGAGGAGGAATACTCTATGCACAGGGGAGAGCATGAGAGTTTTGAAAGGATGTGAATTAAGCCGAAATTTAGGAATAAGCACCAAAGATATCCTGGGGACCTTTCCCTCATACATACCCACGTTGGCTTCTGAAGGCACTCTGAGCTCAGACAGGTGCTGTTTTCAGGGGAGATATCTTGTCCAGAGTTGGGGGTGATGGCAATACAGAGGATTTGGAGAGGTTTGATCTCACATCTAATTTTTTGCTCTTGACTATGGCCCCAGTTTCAACATCCCTTGAGGAAGTCTTTTGTCCCAGTGCTGACCTCTCCTTAGCAGCATCTATCTCTTGAAGACGAGCGTTGGTGTTTGTGAAGTTCTCTGAGCTGTGTGGATAAGAGGGGAAATTAGGAAGTAGCATTCTGTGTTTGTGATTGAATTAACTCATAGAATGAGTGCCAGCCACACTTAGAATTTCCAGGTTGGTTGGGAGTCCATTTGGAAATGTGGCTCTGAACTTCTGTAAGGGGGAAGTTCAAATCATAGGACCCCTTGCTCCGCCTTTCCCTCAACTTTGCCACCCCTGTAGGATAAGTGACCAGTACCTAATAAGGGAGCCTCCTCAGATTTTCAAGTCCCAAGTTGCTTCCCAAAATATAGATCCACTCCATGGGCTAAAATTAGACGTCATAGAGTGTTTAATGTTGACTGGCCCATTATTGTGGTAATTAATCTAAAGGTGTGGTTATTTATAACATGGAGGTTGCCACGCATGTATCACATCTTTTTTTTTTTTAAGGAGAGAGAGAATTTTTTAATATTTATTTTTTAGTTTTCGGCGGATACAACATCTTTGTTTGTATGTGGTGCTGAGGATCGAACCCGGGCCGCACACATGCCAGGCGAGCACGCTACCGCTTGAGCCACATCCCCAGCCCTGTATCCCATCTTTTTATAAGGCAGTTTCTTAGCTCTTACTGCATTTCCAGTGTAATTCATTTCCAGTCACTGGGCCGTAGTTTTCCCAGCCTCAGAGAAGCCCCCCAGACTGATCCAGCTAGCATCAGTGACATTCCAATAAATGTGTGGGTTTTCTTATTATTATGATTTCTAGGTTCTCACCAGATTTTTGGGCTCCTCCACTCCTATTGTGTACTGGTTTCCAGCTCACTTGCTTCAGAATCAAGAGCCACTGTTGAGATCCTTAGAGACAGAGTCTTGGACGCCTCTTGCGGAAGACTTCCCACCAAGACAAAAAATACCCAGAAATTCTATCATGGAACTTTTGTACAACTGGAAAACCTGCTCTTCAGTCACTCGATATATCCTAGGTTACTTCCTGACTTACTGGCTCCTGGGACTACTCTTACATTGCAACTTCCTGCCTTGGACATGACCTGGAGTCTCAAAGGACAGACTAGAAGCCAACTTAATTCATCTTCTTCAAAGTTAAAAGACAGACCAGGACCAAGCATGGTGGCACACCCCTGTAATCCCAGCAACTCAGGAGACAGAGGCAGGAGGATCATAAATTTAAGTCCATCCAGATAACTTGTTGAGACCCTGTTTTAAAAAATAAAAATGGCTGGGGATATAGCTCAGAAGCAGAGCACCACTGGGTTCAATCCTCATTACCAGAAGAAGATAACACACAGGGACTGCCTGCACTGCCCTGGGATCGTCCTTGTGGGCATTAGAACCCCTTTGTTTTTGGAGACTGGTGAGCCATCAAAGAGCCTTTCTGGTCCTGGCTGGAGCAAATTTTAAGAGTAGTAACTATTTTCACTGTAAGTGATGATACCTTACTCAAGTCTAAAGTACACCTGCATCTGTCTAGTCAGCCAACATAGCAGGAGACATTCTTAAACCTGCCACTTTAAATTTAAATACAGATTATTTAAATGTGCATTTCATCAAAGGCTCTAGCTGACAGTCTGGTGATAGTCCACACAAGATGGTGCAGACTGGACAGTGTGGTAGTAATAGGAAAATGAGACCTTTTTCTCTAAATGGGAAGTTTCTGAAGGTGTTTTTTTTTTTTTTAATGCAATTTTATTTAGTTAGTTTTAAGACTTATTCAAAAGGCCACTGGGGTTGTTATTTCAAAGGATGTTCTTCCCCTCATGACACACATTAGTAAATTTCTTTGTAGGAAGAGCTCAGCTTTCCAGTGATATGGAAGAATCTGATTCAGAAGAGCCTGTCTCCGACTGATTCCTCCAGCTTGGGTGTGGTCAGTTTCTCTGTCTTCAGCCTATGAGGCTTTGGGATATTCTCACATGCACCAAGTCTCACCTCACCTTTCTTTCTAGCATAGAAGAAAGACTGATAGAAGGAGAGGGATAGGACCCTCAGACTTCAAGGGTTTTACTCTCCCAGTCTCTTGATAAATTCTGCCCTTGTGAAGAATCAGATGGTCCTGCCCATGAGCTTGAAAAAGGCCTTCTACCTCATATCTTTGCTGTCTTCTAAATCTTCAAGTAAGATGTTATACCCAGGGTCTCTCTTCAACAGATTGTCCTTCAGTTTGGAGAGAGAGCAATGACTTCTGCCTCCCTGCTTTTCACACTCTTCTTAATCTTTGGGCTGCTTGATCATTGGCCTCCTCAATGTCATCTTTCAGGACCATTTTGAAGTTGTTTTTTCATTTGTGCATCTGTTTATATGAAAAATCTTACACGCTGGGTGTGGTGGTTCATACCTGTAATCCCAACTCACTTGGAAGGCTGAGGCAGGAGAATCCAAATTTGAGGCCAATCTTAGCTACCTGGAGAGACTGTTTCAAATTTTTATTTTTATTTTATTTTTTAATATTTATTGTTTAGTTTTTTAGGTGGACACAATATCTTTATTTTATTTATTTTTTATGTGGTGTTGAGGATTGAACCCAGTGCACCGCGCATGCCAGGCAAGCGCGCTACCGCTTGATCCACATCCCCAGCCCCTGTTTCAAATTTTTAAAAATAAAAGGGCTGTGGTTGTATCCCAGTGTTAGCGCATTTACCTCACATGCATGAGGCCCTGAATTTAATCCCCAGAATGGGGTTTGTGTCGGGTGGCTTGCAAAGATAAACAACTTTCTAATTTATACATGAATAGAATTAACTTTTTACAACCAAGAGGGGTTGGGGAGTATAGCTTAGTGGAAGAGCACATGAGGCCCTTAGGTTTGATCCCCTTACAAATTAAATAACATTAATAATAATGATAATAAAAATCACTTGGAAAAAAAAAGTCAAGGTTAAGAATATGGCCAGAGGGCTGGAGTTGTGGCTCAGTGTTAGAGTGCTTGCCTGGCATGTGTGAGGCCCTGGGTTTGATCCTCAGCACCACAAATAAATAAAAAGAAACAAAAGATCCATTGACAACTAAAAAATATTTTTTAAAAAAGAATATTTGCAGGAGTTTGGGTGATGCTTGTCCTCAGAACAAACCTGTGTATCAGCCATATGACCTTGAGCGTGTTTTCAGGAACTAAGGGAGTTGCTGTTATCACTGGGGGGGGGGGGGGGGGGGCGGTTGTAGGTCCTTTTTTCCTGTAAGATCTTGAGGGCTACTTAAACAGAATTACCCCAATCTAAGCACTTATGCACTGACACAAATGTGATTTTAGCCAGGTGCAGTGGTGCACACCTGTAATCCCAGCTACTTAGGAGGCTGAGGCAGGAGGATTTCAATCTAAGGCCAGCCTCAGCAATTTGTGAGAACCTGCCTCAAAAAACAGGCGCCATGGCTCACGCGCTGGGAGCCTGAGGCAGGGAGAATTGCAAGTTCAAAGATAGCCTCAGCAATAGTGAGGTACTTAGCAAATCAGTGAGACCCTGTCTCTAAATAAAAAATACAAAATAGAGCTGGGATGTGACTCAGTGGGCATATGCCCCTGAATTCAATCCCTGGTACCAAAACAAAACAAACAACAAAGGACAAGAGATGTAATTTAGTGGTAGAGCATCCGTGGGTTTAATCCCTACGAGTTACTTGTAGCGGAAAGTATTTCAATTTCTCCTGCTTTTCAACAAGTAGAAGAAACCTCCATCCTCAGGGTGCAATTCTGGAGGAGTAACCAAAGTGATCTTTCCTTTGAACAAGGGAGAACAGTGACACCTGGTGAATAAAGCTGCTTCTCTGCAAGGTAACTGGTGACTGGTTTTCCATCCTCAAGTGCCCTTTCTTGCTTGACTGGTAGGCATGGTAAGAGGAGCCACAGCAGCATGAATGGGTAAATTGTAAATCCAAGGTTGACTGAAATGGCATTTATCCTGCTTCCTGGCACCATTCGATTGGTTACGAGCTACCACAAATGATAGGAGGATCACTGACCCCACTGAGCAATTTCTGCCTATTCCTTGAGCCAGGAAAGAGTTTGATTCTGTGTCATCATCACATCATCATCATCTCTTTTTTTTTTTTTCCTTTCATTATCCCTCTTATGCCCCCTTTGAGCCAAAAATTCCAATAAGCAGAAACTTCAAAACAGATGGGTAATCATCAACAGCTTCTGGAAAGCCCTGAGAGTTGGAATTTGGACACACTCCCTCTGACCGTGACAGAAAGCTAAACTTGCCAGCTGAAGGGAAGCTCCTGGCTGAAGCCCAGCACCCTCTGTGGGAGCCTCCGGCCAGCCAGGCCAATAAGCATTCCTACCCATGGCCGCAGCTCTAGCATAGCTGAGCATTTGGTCCAGTGTCAAATGCTTCTGAAAATGTACACACAGATCGGGGCAGCCCTCTGCCTTCTGCCAAGACACTGAGTGCCCTTCTTGGCAAAAGATGATCACCCTTGCCCTAGTGTCCCTCTAGCTGGCAGAAACCATTCCCTCTCTCCTCACCAACAGCTGCAAATCCAGGGACTTCCACCCTGTGTGTGGGGGGGGTAGGAGTGGGGAGTTGGGGTCCATTTAAGTTCTTTATTGCCGAGCCAGGAGCACTAGGTCCTTTGCTCTTGGCTTCTATTTGCCTCTTTGGGGGGATAATCATGACTGATTGTTTCCTTACTGAAAGAGGTGACTCAAACCCCACAGGGTGTGATTTCACTGCTCTGGCAGTCTCAGCATAGCTATCAACAGGATCTCATCACCCCCAGAAACACTACACCTGAGGACCCCAGCTAGGTGGATGCTTCTGGAGCAACATGGTTTTCTCTCTGACCTTGGAGGTCTAGTTGTTGTTCTCTAAGCATCTAAGGAATTAGTTGATTTTATGGCCAGCAGCTGTCCTTTTACCATCCTATTAACAGTTTTAATGGTCTGGAAGAGGGACATGAAGGGCCCAAGGCAGGAAGCTTCCTGTTTACCCTGAGGTCTAACAATGCCGCAGCTGGGTTGGGTCTACAATTTCAGAGAAGTCATTTCCTTCTGAGACCCTGCTAAAACAGAAACCAGACACTTCGCTTAACTAAAAGTAGAGGGTTATTTTTTTTCTTTTTCTTTTTTTTTTTTTTTTCTTTTATGAAGGTGAGAGGAGAGGGAGTGTTTGACACGTCTTTACCATTCCCCCTGGGGAAGGGGGTGGGGAAGGTCACTCCTTTCCTTGAACAGACCCTCTCATCTTCATCTAAAAATATAATAATGTGCAGCCTCGAGAAATTTGAAATTGATTCTTTCAGCAGTTGTTTATCACTGCCTACTTTAGGCATTGACCAAAGGAGACTCAGCTATCCCTCCTGTCCTCAACTGTCTAATGAATTGCTAGCAGATTCACAGAAACAATAATTAAGGTAGAAAGTAATAAATTCTGGGGAGTAGGATGACACCTATACTTCTTGCTCTCTGTCTCTACTTCAACTATTTTTTTTGTGTGTGTGGTAGTGGTGATTGAATCCAGGGCCTTGTATTCGCTAGGTCAGTGCTATACCACTGAGCAACATCTTCAGCCTTTCTCTTATTTTAATTTTGAGATAGCAATTTGCTAAGTTGCTGAGGCTGACTTTGAACTTGCAATCTTCCTGCCTCAGCCTCCCGAATTGCTGGAATTACAGGTGTATGCCACCATACCTGGATGAATTCTTTACTTTCATTTATATTCCATTGGCTTCGAGTCCACTGGCCAGATCCACTATAAGGGAGGGGGAGGTAGGGTGCCAAAAATAATTTTTCTGTATGACTATTCTGAATATTGCACAAGACATACTTACTTCATTGTTTGGCTGGACACAGTGGTGCATGCCTGTAATCTCAGGGACACAGGAGGCTGAAGCAGAAGGATTGCAAATTCAAAACCAGCCTGGGCAACTTAGCAAGATCCCATCTCAAAAAATAAAAGGCTGGCAGTGTAACTCAGTGGTGGTGGTGGGGAGAATCTTGGTTGTTTTGAAATTCGAAGGTAACTGGCATCTTGTGTTTTTATTTGCTAAAATCTGGCAACCCTACTGGGAAATGAAGTCTAGTATAGGTTCAGTAAGATAAGAACACAGATATGTGCATGTCACAGTGTACCTTACTGAGCCAAATACCTGTTTTTCCTCAGAATAAACTCACCCCTTCCCTAGGGAAATAACCCCCAATGCCATCTAATCATTATCATATTTAGCCCAAAGTCTCTCAGTCAGTTTCAGATAAGGTTCCTTATGGTAATTTATGCACAGAAAGAATATATTATCTGTATTTCATAAACACACCCCAAATACATTGGTAGATCAGGAGATAGATAACCAGTTGAGCCTTCCATTTATAAAAGGAAAGCAGTAGCAGCACAGTAGTCTCTGGTCCAAAGCTCCTTTGAACTCCCATTGGTCAGAATTCTCCCACTGGACAGAGAAAACCCCTTCCCTGGCTTTTTGTTGTTTTTATACTTGGAATTAAACCAGGGATGCTTTATCTCTGAACTACATCCTCATCCCTTTTTATTTTGAGGCAAGTTCTTACTAAATTGCTGAGATTGACCTCAAACTTGGTATCCTCCTGCCTCATTCTCTT